AGATAATCACCCCACCGACGCTTCACACCAGCAGCAGCACGAGCAATACCTACCATACCCCATTACGCCTACCCTACAGGTTAATTCGCAACCTACCATCATCGAGGCGCAGTCATAATACCATACCACCATACGTACAACGCAACACAAAGACATACGAGGAGAGAACACAGTTCAAAAGCCAAAAAGGAACGATTCACGCGGTTTAGCGGCATTTCGACATCATTGCATTGGTCGTTTGAGGAGTTTTGTTCCCGTCTTGGGGGGTTTCTGGCTTGCTTGCTTGATTGGGTGGGAGTGGCATTCCGGTGCCCTTTCTTTTTTCTACTTTTCTTGTTGTAAGAGCTGTCACGACCTACTACACAATATCTGCGGCGACGCACAACCCTCACATACAAAGTCATAATGTTTCTTTTTTCTATCTCATCGCATCGCATCTCGGGTCTTTGTCATGGTCGTTGAGATCCTGTTTGTTTTTTGCGCGATCGTTTTCTTCCGAATTTCTTTCCGATACCCTGCTGCGAGATGCGCTGTCGTCGTCGGTACGCGGTCTTTTGTTTGTTTGTTCGGTTTGGTCGGGCAGTGTAGGTGTGTGGCTAGACGGACCGGACTGGGCTGGACTGGGCCATGTGCTATAGAGTGTGGCGCGTGTATGTACTATATTTATTATTACCATTCCATCTATTCACGTCACACTATCCTTCTGTTGAGACCTACTCGGCGGTATTACAAATGCCTGAGGGCTGACGGCTTTTCCGTCTTGGTGTTGTTGCAAGGAACAACTGACTCGACATCTCGCTTCAGCCTTGCGACTGACAATGGTCCTGCATAAACGCCCTTCATCTCGGTAATGCCGTCATGGTCTCAATATGGACATGTTGAAAGTTTGTGAGAGTCGTGACAAACCCAAAGTTCGGGAGGGAAACGCGTCATACGAGTGAAACGCATAGACGGCCAGGATGCTGTCATGCAAAGCAGGCCAGGGTTGAGTGGGAGGGCAATCCGAAGTTTTCCCTTGGACGGAGGAAAGAGCTGATTTATCTGTGCTGTATCAAAAATGGGTGATGGAAGAAGACAAGAATGAGAGAAACTAGGTGGATGAGCGAAAGGAACAGGATGGTCTGAAGGGAGACTGGTAATTTACATCTTTACAACGGGCTTGTTGTATCACAGGAGAAAGGGCGAAGTCGAGCGGGACTGAATGGCTCACGCAAGTTGGCTTCGTTATTTACTGCTCTGGTATCTGCCCATCATCACATCCCAACCGATCATCAGATACACTCTCTTTTCCTTAGACCTGGGATGCATTCACTTCCTAACCATCCCCGGCCTAACATGTAAACTCGTACTCTTCCTTATCCTCTCACTCACACTCTCACTCGCCGCCTCTACGCCAGTGAGACTACCCTCCTCGCTCTTACTTTCCTCACGAACGGAACTCATTCGACGCGTTGTGTCGGCACTTGAGCGGCGGCTGTGGGTGCTGCGTGGATTGGCGATGGGGTTAGAGAGGATGTTCGAAACGTGATGGTCCGGGTTTGTGGATAAGTAGGAAGAAGAGGAGATTGAGCGGCGGCGGGGTGGAGGTAATGTGTCGGTGTTGGAGGTGGTGGGATAAGGGAGTGAGGTAGGTGGGGTGAGGACGTTACGTGTAACGACACGCCTATTCAATGTCAGTTGTCAGTTCCCAATCGACCAGTCAAACAAACACCACACACCACCTCCCCATCCAAATTCCCCGCACTCACCGATTCGCAGGCAACCTAAAACATGGATGCCAGCCTACTCTCTCCCTCCCGTCATCCCTCACCCCATCCTCATCCCTCTCCCCTTCCCTCCCTCCATCCTCCCCATCTCCAGGCCCAACAACCCAGTACCAAACCGCCCACTGCCCCTCCTCCCTCATCTCCCCCACCGTCTTCCTCACCCCATCATAAACTTTTGGATAAAACGATCGTGGGATAGATCTGTTGGCGTTGAGAGCGCTGGCGGGCAACATGGCGGGGACGGCGGCGTGGGAGAGGTAGTGCTATGTTGTGTTGAATATTGTTTCTGTTGTTGAAAGGGCGGGATCCATCATCAAGGTTTCTTCGCAAAATTGGAGAGTGGAGAATGGAGGGTCGTTCGAGTAACGTGTGGAAGAGAAGTGCGTCGTTTTGCGTAGTGGAGATTTTGATGGCAGAGGGGATTTGGAAGCGTGGGCGTATTAGCGACTGGTAAGAGGTACGTGTACCAACAGATGGGAGTGAGCTGTTAATTAGAGAAAACGTCTGTTGGTTGGACACGTAAGGCAAGGCAAGGCAAGGCAACCGGTCTTTCGCAGTGACTGGGGAAGTGAAAACGGAGAAACCTTCTCTTTGATGATGAAAGACAGGACCTACGGGTCTGAACGTTGTGGATTATTCCTTCCGAGTCTATCGTTCGATTTATAGTGCTGTATGTAGGCAATCTACCAGACGCTATGTGACAATTGACTTACACGTAGGAGGCAGTGGAAGCTTCTAAAACGCAATACCAGTCGTCCACCACGTATCACCACGATGCCAGCGTACGAGCTGTCCGCCCCAGCACCACCACCCATCTCTTGCATCAGGCCCAAATCCCAGTCCGCGGAACAGAGAGACAGGAATAGGTTCGAAGAGCCAAACGCCCGCTTGAGCAAAGTCGTCGCAAAGAAGATGAGCCGTGTAATAAAACCACACATGAACGTACACGAACGTCCATCCCCGCTTCAGCCAACCAGGTAGATTCCTCTCCAGCCCAGTCCCCCTCGCAGCCTGCGTCACCCCAGCTTCAACAAAAATGCCCACAGCCTGCAGCAAGAAAAACGCCATGGGCCCCCTCACCGGCCTCGTCTCCCCAGTCGCAGTATAACTCCCACTGCCATGCACAACGCCACTCAGAAAAAACGCCACAAAAAGCTGCAACGCCTTCGCGCCCACGCCCCTCTTATCCAAGCCCACCATCTCAATAACCTTCCGACTAGGTTCCTGGAACGCAAACCGAAAAGTCTGATGCCACCAACTGCCCCACCAGCCCGCGAGCCCTTTATCCAAGACCACGCTGTACGGCGCCCACGTCTCAGGATACATCCAGGGTTCTGCGCGGGCGCCGAGGAGAGAGGGGGAGAGGAGGCCGCTGAAGAAGAGGGGGCCGAGGGCGAAGATGGTTTGCAGGGCGTATTTTACGGCGAGCATGCTGAGGAGGAGGTGGTACGTGTGTGTTGATACGGCGCTGTTTGTGAGCCAGGAGGGGAGGTGCGGCGGTGGTGGTGCTCTGTCTGTCAAGCCCCAGAAATAGGGATCCCACATCATTGTTGTTTTTAGGAGGTCGAGGACTAGGTAGCCTTTGAGGAGGCGCCAGGTGTTTTGCTGGAGGAGGAGACGCCGGTTTGTGAATTGTGCTACTTGGCCCGCGTGGGTTTTGTAGGTGTGCTTTGGGACGGTGGATTGGGAGTTGGCGTCGAGTTGGATCTGGATGGGTTTGGGGGGTGGGGGCAGGGCGGTGGTACGCCAGTTCCAGCCCATGCCCCGGAAGTTGCAGAATATATCCAGTACCCAGTCTAAGCGCTCGATGAAGGGGCGGACGGGGTAGGGCTGCCATGCGTATTGGCCGTGGCGGTCTCGTGGCCCGGAGGTGCTGTTGACGAGGTCGTCTTCTAGGGTCTGGTTCTTGATATCTTCTTTGGCCTCTGCACCTCCATCGTGTTGTGTCTTCTCTTTCCGCTGGTCTGAATCTGACCCGAACACACCTCCGGTCCTTTCAATCCTCATGAAATCTGTCTGTGCATCGTTGCACACTATAATCGCGCCAACCCATGCTATGCTCCATGCGTTGACCAGGCCGATACCCAAAGCTGGTGCTACCGCCCTCGCCTTTGTGTATAAGTTGCTGTAAGTTGCAAATCCGGCAATCCATGCAAATGCCAAGTATCGTCCTTTCTCGAGCCACGGCCGATGCTGATGCGGGATGAGAAGGTATATGATAACAAAAAGTGCACCAAGCGTCCCCCATGGATACAAGAATGGTTGGTATTCCCCAGATGCGATAGCTTTATCGTATTGAGCGTGGTAGTGATCTAATAAGTCGTGATGCGAGCGCGGCCAAGGATCCTCGGATTTGAACAACATGCTTCCAAGACGGAACGAGAAGCGATACAGAAGTAAGAAAAGAACAACATAGGAAAGAAAGCAACAAGACTAAGCACTAGAAACCACAAAACAAACCAGCGTGGCGCGAAAGCTCATGGCCTTTCAGATGACGCACTGCATCTTGCGTTCGCTAGCTGACGCGCTAGGCCTGAAGAGCAATGGCGCTGGGCTGCGGGCGCTGCAACACCAAACCTTTACCATCGTGATATTGCCGGACTGCAGCCCGCCACAAAGTGCGATTACCGTTCATCCTCACCCCAGTCCCTCTCTATCCGAGTGCGAAGAGTGCGCAGTAACCGTCAAGATGGTGAATATTACGGAGAAGATCAAAGAGTGGGATAGCGCCGAAGTTTTGATGTGGCCTTGCGCTAACGCCCCGCCAGGATTGAGGATGAGATGAGGAGGACGCAGAGTGAGTAGAACAGTGCTTTTTGATGGTATTTGCGCTAACGAGATGCAGAGAATAAGGCTACGGGTATGTACATGCGGATTTGATTGCATCGATACTGGATGCACTGTGTATCACGTGCTGACACTCAAGTGTAGAATATCATCTTGGTCTACTGAAAGGGTACACTATCTATACTCCTATATATATAGTCTCTCTATGCTAATAACGCTACAGAAAACTTGCCCGTCTCCGCGCACAACTCCTCGAACCCGCTGCAGGTGCAGGCAGCGGCGGAGGACAAGGATTCGATGTATCGAAATCCGGAGATGCGCGTATTGCACTCGTTGGCTTCCCCTCGGTAGGAAAGTCGACCTTCCTCTCCAGAGTCACAAAGACAAAATCAGAAGCCGCATCCTACGCCTTCACCACGCTTACGGCGATTCCTGGTGTGCTTGAGTATGGTGGTGCTGAGATTCAGGTCTTGGATTTACCGGGTATTATTGAGGGTGCTGCGGAGGGCAAGGGACGAGGAAGACAAGTCATTAGTGCTGCGAAGACGAGTGATCTTGTCTGTATGATTCTTGATGCTACGAAGAAGGCGGAACAGAGGCGATTGCTGGAAGCCGAGTTGGAAGCTGTGGGTATCAGGTTGAACCGCGAGCCACCGTAAGCTCACTTCAATATTTCCCCTTACGTCAGAATCTCATCGACAACAGGAACATCTATCTCAAGCCCAAGAAGGCTGGCGGCATGAAGATCAACTTCCAGGTCCCGCCCAAACATCTCGACGAGAAGATGGTCTACAACATTCTCAAAGACTACAAGATGCTCAACTGCGAAGTCCTCGTCCGAGATGAAAACGCAACAGTCGACGACTTCATCGACGTCATTATGAAGGACCACAGGAAATACATCAAGTGTCTCTACGTGTACAACAAGATCGATAGCATCGGTCTCCCGCACTTGGACGAATTAGCACGCGAGCCACACACCGTCGTCATGAGCTGTGAGCTCGATCTCGGTATTCAAGACGTCGTGGACAGGTGTTGGGAAGAGTTGAGGTTGATCAGGGTGTACACAAAGAGGAAGGGCAACGACCCAGATTTCTCAGAGGCGCTCATTGTACGACACGGAAGCACGATCGAAGATGTTTGCGACCAAGTTCATCGGACGCTGAAGGAGACATTCAAGCATGCGCTGGTTTGGGGCGCGAGTGCCAGGCACGTGCCGCAGAAGGTGGGCTTAGGGCATGTAGTGGCCGATGAGGACGTTGTCAGCATTGTGGCAAAGTGATTGTGTTGTCGAGGCCTGGTATAGAATAGAGACGAATGAGCATCAGCTGTATACGACTCACAAGAGGGTCTGCCGAGACCGCCTAGACTCAAATCTTCCATACCACCAATAAATGATTCTCACTACCAGTCAAGACAATGCACGCCACAAAACGCGCAATCACGGTTTGTAAGCGCAAGAGTGGCGTGTCAACCGTGCTGTCACCGTCCGAGCATGTTCCGAGGATCGGATGAGAAGATCTGATAAGGGGCAGCGTCTGTAGGGCTGTCAGTCCACTTTCGGAACCAGCGGATGCGTCGATTCCGGCGCGCGAGATTGTGATGCGTAGTCACGTGAGCCTCTCTAGTCGGCCGTCTTGACGCTTGATTGGCACAACGTCGACGGTTGAGGAACCAAAGCAGTTAACATGGACCCTGGCGACATTTCCCTCAGGGACGCTTGTACTCGGGGCGCCGAAAAACTTATCGCCGATAAATGGCAGCGTTGCCGTTATGACTACCTACTTGAACGAGAGCATTCGCCTCCCCACATTCGTTTATACTCTATCCTAGATACTCTGCTCTTTTTGCATTGCTCTTATTGCCGGTCTCTTGTTGTGACGTGTACTTGCATTGTGTGCGCTCGTTGGTCCTCAAACATCACGAATCGCAGGCCTTCCGTACCTGAATCCGCCGATCGCCGAGGCGTCTCCTCGCCCCAGCCGAATAGCCATGGACGTCGTCCTCGAACTAGCAGACACCTTTCTCTTCGACCCTCTCTACGCAACCCTCCTTCCCGCTTCCACACCCTCTTTCGTCGGCAATGCAACGATCTCGAGCATTAGAGAGGAGCCCACGGGCTTTGCTCTTCCGCACGCGACCTGGCAGTACGAGCCCTCGACGCAATTCTTCTCCGTCGAGCCCTCCAAGTATGCCTACATGAGCCAATGGACACGCGACGACTGGCGGCGACAGGCCGTGTCCTTGTACCTCATCACATGGTATGCGCTGCCCCAGCCTTTTACGTAGTTCTCCTCTAACAACCCTCCAGGCTCTTTGGTGTCCTCGTATACTATGTCTTCGCCGGCGCCTCGTACTTCCTCGTCTTCGACAAGTCCACCTTCAACCACCCGCGATACCTCAAGAACCAGATCAAGCTCGAGATGAAGCAGGCCAACATCGCCTTCCCCATCATGGCCATCTTCACCGTACCGTGGTTTCTGCTGGAAGTGCGCGGCTACTCCAAGCTATACGACACCGTAGACCAAGGCCCAGGACTCTGGTACAACTACCTGCAGTTCCCGCTCTTCTTCCTCTTCACCGACTCGGCCATCTACTGGATCCACCGCGGTCTGCACCACCCCCGCGTCTACAAGCACGTCCACAAGCCGCACCACAAGTGGATCATGCCCACGCCCTTCGCCTCGCACGCGTTCCACCCTGCCGACGGCTACGCCCAGGGCCTTCCCTACCACATCTTCCCCTTCATATTCCCGCTTTCGAAATTCGCATACGTCTTCCTCTTCGTCTTCGTCAACATCTGGACCGTCCTCATCCATGACGGCGAATACGCGCACAACTCGCCTATCATCAACGGTGCTGCTTGCCATACCATGCACCACCTATACTTCAACTACAACTACGGTCAATACACAACGCTCTGGGACCGTCTTGGTGGAAGCTACAGGAAGCCCAACGACGAGCTCTTCCAGAAGGAACTCAAGATGTGCCAAAGCGAGTGGAAGAAGCAAGCTGAGGCCGTCGATAAGATGGTCGAGGAAGTTGAGGGTGACGAGAACGATCGCACATATGCTTCTGAGACGAAGAAGCTGCGCTAGACGTTCTTCCCGGCTGCGTAATACTGCAGATGGGTTGAATTTGAGACGCCGTTACGATATGGGTGGGGTTAAGGTGTATACATGCTTGTGCGATTGCAGGCCGATCGTCATCAGTTACCTCTTTCTGCGTGTACATACCATTCTTTGCGTTCGCTGCATCAAAAGTTTGAGTATAGCAGTCTCGCTTTGCAGAGCAAAGTCCTTATTTGTAATATCGTAGAACTTAGGGAGAAAGAGTCGCCTCTTGGAAGATTAATAGTAATATCGTCGACATGCAGCTTTCAGGCCCGCTGATCTGAGTTACTCGTAGTAGTGTGCTTATAAACACAGTTCGTCTTTGACATGTTGGTAAGCTTGACCCCTCGTTGTAGGAAGCGGGGTATGCATCTCAGCACTTGGCTGTGCTCAGCACGCCCTACGAGTACATTTGTGTGGGTCGTGTATAGGGTCTGATAGTACGCTGACTCTGTTTATCCCTGGAGTGATATATAGTCTGTCAAGATATTACGTTGTAGAGGGACATCCTCCAGGCGCCGGTTGTGTGGAATTTGGATACAAAGCATTATCAACTTATCGAATCCAAGAAAGAGATACAAGAAACGATATCATATCACTAAACTGTCAGTACAAATACATATCATCCCTATCCAACATACCTACACATACTAACACCCCCTCCAGCTCGAGCATTCTCACACCCCTCTCTCAACCCCTACAACCCAAACCCCCCTCCCCCATGATCCACATAACAACCGTCCACGCCGAAGGCGAAATCGGCGACGTAATAACCTCCGGCATCCCGGACCCAGTCCACCTCCCTTCCATGTACGCCAAACTCCAATACTTCCTCCACAACGCAGACCACTACCGGCAACGCCTCATGCAAGAGCCGCTCGGCCGCGTCTCACAATGCATGAACCTGCTCTTATCCCCCTGCGACCCCTCCGCCGACGCCGGTTTCCTCATTCTGGAGAGCGACGAGTATGCACCTATGAGCGGGAGCAATACCATTTGCGTTACCACCGTGTTATTGGAAAGTGGGATGCTGGAGATGGAAGAGCCGGTTAGTAGTGTGGTGTTGGATACGGCGGCGGGGGTTGTGAGGGTGAGGGCAGAGTGTGAAGCGGGGAAGGTGAGGAGTGTGGAGTTTGATAATGTTCCTGCTTTCGTGCAGGAGTTGGGGCTTAAAGTTGATGTAGAGGGTTTGGGCGTTGTAGAGGTGGATGTTGCGTGGGGTGGCATGTATTTCGTGCTTGTGGATGTAGGCAAATTGGGGCTGGGGATTGGGGTGGAGAATAGGCATGGGAGGCGGCTTGTGGAATTGGGGCAGAGGATTTTCAAAAGGGTCAAGCAGGTTTATGAACCTGTTCATCCGGCGAATGAGCAGATTAGGGGGGTTAGTGCGATTGAGTTTACGGGGCCGGTGGTCAAGGAGGAAGATGGCAGTTTGGCAAGTGTTAATACGGTGGTGGTGAGTCCGGGAAGGTTCGATAGGAGTCCGTGTGGGACGGGGACTTCGGCGAGGATGGCGGTGTTGCATGCGAAGGGGTTGTTGGGGGTTGGGCAGAGGTTTACCCATAAGAGTATTGTGGGGACACAGTTTCAGTGTAGTATTTTGGGTACGACAAAAGTTGGGGATCACGAGGCGGTTCTACCGAGAGTCAAAGGGAGGGCGTGGATTACAGGGTACAGGCAGGTTTTGGTGGATAGTGGGGATCCTTTTCCAGTGGGGTTTAGGGTTGGGGACGTTTGGGGGATGGAGGAGTGAGAGGTTGATAGAATAATGGAGATGTGAGTAGATGATGAGTGGCACTGATGGGCAGATGTAAAGATAGATGTAGGGAAGTAGATGATAGTGTGAGCATCTATATACCTGAATATCGATGGTATTAAATATGAGTACTATCGTTCCATTTCTAGTGAGCGTGGGAGAAGGGAAGCAATGGATGCACCTACAGTGTTTCTCTCCCAATGAGGTGGCGACAGTGCTAGAGAGTAACACGTAGCCAACTAGTTTCAAGTTTACTATTCGCAGGCGGAGGAGAGATATGACTAGAGTCTTCACAGTCCATATTTTAACAATATGTATACAGTGATTCTCGGCCTATATGGCATTGCAGAGTCGCATATAGCGATGAACCTTTGTTACGAATGGACTGCATTCAAGCATATGCGCCTCAGTAAAAGGAAAACCTCTCCCGCCTACATCTCAAGAAACTGAATGTGCTCCTCACCCAATTCTGTCATGATCATGCGCCCGGGGAAGCCGACCCCCAGCCCCGTTCCGTAACAGGCAGATTTGTCAAGCGCTAGCATATCTAGGTACACTTCGGATCTTCGGGCCATCTTGAAGCCCTCCGCGGATTCTGAAGACACGAGAAGCAGCAACAGTCGGCCATCTCCCAAAAATCGCGGGGCATCCTCTTCTCTCCCACAACCACCCACCCCTCAACGAAAGCTGCATCAGCGTCACAAGCCTCGCGCACGCAAAACCAGCGGTGAGAAAGGACCAACACTTCGCCATGTGCCTCGCAATTCCGTTGCCCAGTCTTTTCCCAGGATGCCCTCGCTAACATGTACCAACGTTGAGAAACGGGACCGAGGCGAGAGGATGCGAAAAAGCAATTCTCACCCACACCTCCACACACCAACTTCCTGATTCGGACTGGGGACACCCCCGCCACACCACAAACTCGCCTTTCTCACCGCTGTGTGGATCAATGTACTGCGAGGCTAGAATTTAGGTTACCGGATGTGCCGTTACATGGGTGGTCATCGAGCTGAGCCAAGGGCTGGTTTGGTGGGTTGGGGGGTTTGATTGGGATATACGTTTTGCGGGGTGAATTGCTGTGGCGAAGTGTACCTAGATAGCTGAGAGCGCCCCCCGGTTTCTCGCTAGCAGTTACGGGTACCATGGGAATGCGCGTCTTATGACAGCTACCAATGCCGCGGGACTGTCGTTGAGAGGGGAAGATTGAAGGTATTAGCGTTGACAATTCTTCTCATCGAATGATCACATAGTACGTGTTCTGCCAGTTTATTGGAGCGCGTGGATATACCCCGGTACCATGGCGGTACATGGCGAGATCATCATGAAGTCCTTCGTTGTGCATCGGTGTCACCGATGAGATACGTGTCTCTTGTTGGTTTACTCTGCTTCACGTATCTCGGTTCAGGGTTGAAG